TCTTAGGTGCACTGAGTGAAGATGCCTCTTAGTCTCAGCACATGTTGAAACGAGATGCAGATCGGTGTTCTGAGGAAGTTGGATGCCTGAAGCCTTGCGAGTTTTTTGGCAGTCCCCTATCGTTTTCCAACAAATATCACAAAACCCACAGTTGAATGAAAGCCCTCAACTAAACCTGTTCATGGATAATTTTGATCTCAACTCATATATATATATATGTGTGTGTACGTTCATACTATGTATGGCATTGCCATGGCCAGAATGTGTGCATAAATTTTAAACTGACAAAGTTCCACGGAACTTGTTTTTTGTGCCATTTGTTCACCAACCTTTCAATGGCACATTTATTGGCGACTTCTGCTTTGGCTTTGGCGCACTGACTAGCAAGTCATGTCAAAACCCTAGATGCAAAACAAAGCCCCCAACCAGAGGAACAGAAAATCTTCGTGGCTCCGCTACCATGTAGCGAAGCGACGCGCAGTTTTCACTCGCAAACTGGAGCCTCTAAAGGTCGCCGTGAGTTCACCTGCACTTGTGTGCACATGATGGACAGGACTCAGGACTGTTTATCTAGGTTAGTGAACTACCAGTAGATTCTGTCCAACCTAATGCGCCCTTGAAAAAAGTCAATGATTAAAAAATGTTACCACTTATAGACAGTAGCTGGAACCGGGGAACTACAAGTAGTACTAGATGTAAGTTTGACGCGAAGCAGCATGGTGAGCAAGTTCAAGACCCCAAAGCACGGTAGGCGCGCGTGTAGGGCATTTTCACCACGGTTCAAACGCCATTTAATGACAATGACAATTCCCATACTTTTGTTCCTCTTGTTCCAGCGGCTCTTGGCGAATGGTTCAATTCTTGCAGCTTCTGCGGCGCAACGGCCGATTGCACTGCACAAGGTAGTGAGCCTTCTGACCTGGCCTTGATCTATGTGCTGGCGCAACTCGGGTTCCCTGATCTGTCCTTCCTTCCTTCCTTTCTTCCTTGTAGTCCAGTTCTTTGACGAGGCGAAGTTCATTGCGTGCTCTCAGCCGCAAACAGCAAATCAAACAAATCACACGCATTATACGCGCAAACCCTACGAACCCCCCGGTCGGCTTTCAAAAGACTGGAACATGCGCGCGGGAACAAACATCGGCACGAGCACCTACAGAAATCATGTGCGCAGCACTACTGAAACCATGCGCGTGGAAGCGTGATTCGACGCGATAACCTACCAATAAAGCGCGTGCGGGGGCATGAGGCGTGCTTGATCCGCCTGTGTTTGATTTCGCTTCCTACATAGCCCTTGTGCAGTCTCACACTCTATATGTACTTGACTGACCCTATTGGCTAAAGCCCGAGGAAAAGTGACCACTTGAATCCAATATAGGCGCTCACCGACCCGAATGCCAGAAGATAGTCAGAAAATCTGCCAGTCAGAATGCCAACAATTACAGAATGCCAGAAAGGGTGGCAGAAGATGTGCCAGCTAGAATGTCAGAAGATGAACTGCGTAGTTTAACAGTTAGCTCGGGGGGTGGCCATCGCACGCTTCAGGGGTGCTTCAAGGAATTTAATTTTTGGACGTCAAAGCCCGAGGTTGGATGATGATTGCGGTTTGCAAATGTGCAAGTGAGTGAGACAGCGGAGTGTGTAAGTGAGCGCCTGCAGGCGCAATGGCCACAGCAGTGACCCCCGACATGCAAATTGAAACCGACCTTGACCGGTTTTCCCATAGCCGGAGAAAGACAGTGCCTCGGCGCGATTGCGCTTCGGGAGGGCGCCGTGCGAATGCTGTTGAAATCACCAGGCTAGGTACAGATTGTAGCGGCAAACTATAGAAAATGCGATGAATTGTGCATGCAAAATCTACCACCCCGAAAATTTGAATGTAACCATTGCATTTTATTCATATACATTCTTGTTTTTTGGTTTTTAAGGGGAAACCTTTCTGGCTGCAAATCTGAGCTCGTTTTGAGAGTGCAACCTGCGAATCTGCAGCAGAAGGAGTTCTTCCTCCCCTGGTAGAACCGTTTTTTAACACGCTGCTCCGAAGTCTCCTCAAGGTTCTTTTGCGCTTTTTTTCGCTAATTACAGTTGTGCGTTGGCTGCCTGGTTGGCAAAAGCGTAAGTGTGCAAGCAAGCGTTTTCTTTGTTTACTGAGTGTGCCCGAGGCCGACGGATTCAATGCAAGTGGAGCCATTTGCAGGGCCAGCTTTGCGCAAATAGTTACGCTAAAGCACAAGGCCGCCAACGAGGATGCAGCGTAAGCCCTCACGTGGAGACACCTTCTGAGAAGGATTGTAGGCTGTCTTGATGATGCGACAAAATATGCTAATAGGCGGCGCTGTAGAAGGCTAAGCAAGGTGGGTCAACACCAGATTGTTGCAGCCGATCCTCGGCATCTGCAAAAGCAAGTTTGCGCACAGTTTGAAAAAATACAGTGCGAACATCTAATGGAGGACAGGCCTGCCTTGGTACAAAAATCACACTGCTCCATTCTTCACCTGCATCTCCTCTGTTGACGCCCAAACAGCTGGCTTATCCTGAACGCGACTGTTAGCCTGGGTTGAAGGTCAGCTGAACGTCGACGGGCCCGCCACGAGAAGCACATCTTCCGGTAGGACGTTGCTGCGGAGAAGCTCTTGCAGCTCTTGCCACTTCACAAGATGGAACAGCGCAACATCGGAAAGCGTCGATACAAGGCCCCGAGGGAGGGCCAATTCGACAGGCTGCCAAGCTAGTGCGAAAAAATAGCAGCATTTTGCTCAAGAGAAAGCCCTTGTTGGGCTGACGGTGGGCAATTGCATAGCAACATCGAAGCCCAATGGGGAGCGAGACGCAACACGAATCAGGCGTCACTGCATTGGCAGTCGCAGCCGACATCTGCCATGGCTATGACCACGGAGCATGAGCAAAGGCCCACCTTGGTCTATTTTTGGCCGGTTACTTTGAAGAACATGCGTCGTGATGATTGCAGGCATACACTGGCGTAGCGCACGGCTGGGCGTGCTTGACGAACGGGGCACAATGACACTAGCTATGGAGTGCTCACTCCTTCACTCGAAAGCAACACAACTGTCGAAATACCACTCCCGTTGAGGCGAAACGCAAAGGGAAGAAGTGACGTCAAGCGAAGCAATACACATTATACGAAGCACGTCTCACTGCCAAACAGCAACATCCTTGAGACGCAAAAAAAGCCATCCGACCCGCACCGACCGAAGACTTCGCCCTCTGCATGCTACATCACGTCTCAACTCTTCTACCTCAAACCGGTGCAGTATCACGATGCACTTCATGATTAAGTTGCATCCTTTCAACGTATGAAGAATGCTTCTTGCTTGAAAGACATGCAATCATTTCACGGATATACGGTCATTTCCCCACGCCCAAAAAGAGTTGGTTGTTTCAGCTTCCAGAATACCTAGAAGATCCATTGGGCAGAAGTTCTTGCCTTTTTCGGGAAGAGCGGCTCTTCCCGTCCTGGGGCGGAAATCAACTGGTTGCCGCGGAAATGTTTTTGTTGCCGCGAATATTCCCTTTCAGGAATCTAGTGAGACAAAGACTATATATTCTAGAGGAGTTGAATATTTTTGTGGTTTACATTGGGCATTTCTGCCTGTGAGAAAAAATAGAAAAAACAAATCGCAGCGCTTAAGTTTCCACCTCCACCTGCAAATCTGGCTACCATCATATCATATATATATATATATCTGTGTTTTTGAAGGTTTCTTGTGCGGAAGGAATGAGCACACAAGGACTAAAATATACTAAATTAAGTCCGCGCGAAAATGCCCGGGAAAAAGGCGGAAATGTCCCGGCAGAAGGCGGGATTCAAAAAAGGTGCCTTTGATGCCTTTGAAGGGCTTGAACATATGTCGCAGCCTCTGTGTGAATGTCATTAATTTAGAAGTGTCAAAATCGTAGGGTGTCAGATCTTGAGATGTGAAGCTATGTCCTTGCAGAACGATATGTGGTCTGCAATCATGGAAGAGACAACCTGGTTGGTCTTAGGCAGTGGTAATGGTTTTTGAGTTGCTATGTTGGATTTTGCTTGAGGCAAACATTACCTGCTGGCCGCGGAAATTCCTACCTGGCTCGGATTTCCCTAAATCCGCGAATCCTCCCGGGCAAATCGGACTGAGGCAGACATTTCTGCACCGGGTGCTTCTAGGTATGGCATAACATGTTGTGTCTTTGCCTTTTCATAAGCGCAAAAGCAGTCAAAGAGGAAAGGTAGACTTCGAAACTCCACCTGGGTATGGCGCCGCAGGTGGCGATGCAGCGCTGTGGAACCGCAGCCGTCGACACCAATGATCACAAAGTCCAGCGGAAAATCCGACCAATGCGCCAATTCGGTGGCTTTGGAGAAATCCTGGCGGGAACCGAAACGTGCCTGGGAGAGACCCGGCGCCACTTGTCGCAGGAAACTCTGCGCCACAGTCGTTTTCACCGAGACATTGTTGCAACTGCTAGGGACGCAAAGCGTAGCAGCGACCACGTTGGAGATCTCCAAATACCAAAAGCGACCACCCAAACTCCAACAGGTCAACACTTTCGACCTCGTTTCGATCACGTTTCGTTTAAAGACAATCATCGAAATCACAAAAAAGGCGGTTCCAAACGGCCCAAACCCAGATTGGTCCAGGAAGCGTGGCGTCTGCAAACAGAAGATCCAAATGTTCATAGGTTCCTTCTGCCAAGTCCTTCTGCTGCAAATCTCGGTATCTCTTCGTATGGAACTTCACTTTTGCCACTTCGTCGCCAGACAAAAGGCCCGGTGTTCCAAACTGCTCGAAGATCGGCACTCCACGGTCGTGTGTGTGCAGCTGGGCAAACGAAGCCCTCCGGAAACTCGCAAACTCCGCCTCTCAAAGATGCTCAAAGAGTGCTCAAAGGTGTCAAAAAGTTTTTCACGTCACATCACTGGGCGAGACACACATGTGAGTCCATATATGAGCACATGAAAACACACGGCACAGAGAAGAGCACAAAAAATACACGCGCTATGGCCACATAAGTGAAACCAAACCCCACATATTTGCACTGCAAGGTTCACAGATGGCCGCACCTGCCACCAAAGCTGCACAGGTTCAAACAAAACACAGATGATGTAGCTGACCTAGTCTACATCTCCGAAATCACTTCACATCCTCGGGCACGAAAACATATTGCCAGGCTGCACAGAACGGTTACACATGCTGTGTATAGCCCGCCCTATGGTAACGGTTGGCACGGTCAACGGCGGATTCGGAAACTAGAACCGCGGATTCGGAAACCAGGCTTCGGAAACTGGAACGGCTCCGATTCAGAAACTAGCTCCGTGCCCACTGTTTGCAACTTCACACGAACGTCAGACCAACTTCAAAGGAATGAATGTCAACATCACCCCACCCACCCCACCCCACCCCACCCCACCCGTAGCCACTGTTTGTAACTTCGCAGGAACGTCAACATCACCCGACGAATCCACAAGTTTCTGAATGGGTGCACTCTGTATTTTCTGAATCGACCAGTTTCTGAATCGCAAGTTTCTGAATCGTCTTCTGTCCCGGTTGGCACTACGTGTAGCTCTACAGAGAACCTACAGGGAAGAGGTAACGGTTACACATGCCGTGTAGCAGATGTATTTATTTGACCCTACAACTTGAGGGGAGAAGTGGTTGAAAGATGGTAGCTATGAGTGCAATGTGCCCATACCTCTGCGATGCGTGCCTGCACACTCAGAAGCAAATGCAAAAAGACTGCAGGTGGTCTTTAAACACGATCACACACAAGTAACCTATATTTCGAGCACTACAATTACACAAACCCGTGCAAATAGATACTGATGTAGACACATGAGATAAGATAAACCGTTTTAGAGCGTAAAGGCTTATCTTGCCACCAAGATATGGCCAAGTTATGTTGTCTTGCACAATTGCTTATAACGTATAAGCAAGTACTTTCGGCAGAGCAGGTTCACAAAGCGCTGCACCTGCCACGAAATTTACACTTAGAGGATCACATAGCGCTGCGTCTGCTCTAAAATCTGCGCAGCAGGGTAGTCGAAATGCTGCGCCTGCTTCAAAAACCTACGCTTCGAGATTTACAAAGCGCTGCTACTGACCAATGCATTGGTATTGCGATGCCTTGCGATGATAATATAGAGTTGACTTCTGACCAACAAGGCACGAGGACCTGAGGATTTCCCTCATGCCTGCCACGAAAAGTGACCACCACGGCACCACAGTTAACAAGACAGCCACTTTGCATACACTCAAAGTGTGACCACGGTCTCGCAAGCATCGCAACGAAACATGGCAACTTTTCTCACAAACCAACATTCCTATATACCTGAGAAGGGAAGGGCGAAAGCCAGCCTCCGTAAGAAGACATGGAAATGGGGGGGTGAAGTCGAGAGCGCACTGCAACAATGTCAACAATGGGGAAGTAAAAGGCAAGGTGGAGAGTGGGGTGCCCCTGCTCTTGTTGCTCAAGGGGCGTTTTGAAGATACAAAAAGGGCACCTCTAAGTAACGGAGGGGCGTTTGCCTGCTGTTGGTTTGTCTTGCGTTGTAGATAGACTCATAAAGTCGGTGTGCTGCTAAGAATGGACCGAGGAAAGTTTACTGCTGAGATCACGCGAGGACTTCGGGGAAAAATTGCCGTTGTTATGGGGGGACGTCGACATAGCAGTGATACTACTGCTGTTGGAACTAGAAAGCAGATTACATGGGTTGGGGGGGTGCCCTTTTTTCACCCGGTTCAACGGCGATTTGAAGCTGAAAAAGGGCACCCCCAAGGACTCAGGGGCGCTCGCTTGCTGTTCGTTGTTCGTGTCCTGTAGACGGACTCAAAGATTTGGCGTGCAAGGTCAAGTGATTGGCTAATATCGGGCAAAAAGTAAATTTGTTATGGGGTGAAGTCGACATTGCAGCCACCCCCACAGGGTGTAGAAATAGAAAGCAAAATACATAGGTTTGGGGGGGCTTCTTCCTCCTGGTTGACAGGCATTTTCAAAGTGAAAAAGGGCACCCCTAAGGTACTGAGGGGCGCTTGCCAAACAGTGAGCAAAGAGTGTGGGACCTATGGGCGAGGCTATCGGCTGGCTTTCGTTAGGATACATTTTATTCATTTAAACACAAACGTATATATCCTTACGAACAGGCCGCATCAGTACATGAACTCGCACCCCACATGGGGTGCTTTTTTGCGTATGATTGACAGGCATCTCTACAATAAGGGCACCCCCAAGCAACGCCCAGATTTCTTGCCAACCCTCTTTTCATACCCACCTTCCCATTCTGTTCCTTGTTGGTGGCAGTTGGTTGGTGGCAGCTTGTGGGTGGAAGTTTGTTGGTGGCAGATGGTTGATGGCAATTGGTTGGTGGCAGTTTCTTGGTGGCAATGGGTTGGTGGCAATTGGTGGGTAGCAACCCTGGAGTGCCAGGTGCTGCGCCTGCCACGCAAATCAGAGCGGCACAGCGGCGTGCGACACACAAGCACCAGGGCGCACATCCGACCCCTTGAACAAACCCTAAAGAAGTCAACTCTGGCCTGGGGCTCCTACCTGTTCTGCCTCGCGGTCCTACGGCTTGTTGTATTGCGCTTCAACTTTTTGTCTTGCGTTTCGAAACTGCAGTCTCGCACCCTGAACCCACTTGTGCTCAGATCTCAGTGGGGGAAGGCTGTGCCGGCACCGCCCCGCTCTGCCTTTCGCCTAGCGCTCCTACCTGCTCTGCCTCTGGCTGACGCTCTTTGTATTGCACTTCGAACCTCCCGTCCGCCCTTTAGCCCTTGCGCGCGCCTAAATGTGATGCCAACTTTGGCCTTCATTTCCGGTCGCGCCTGGTTACGCTTCCTTTGGGAGGCTCTGAGCTTGGCCATGGCTTCTGTTTCGTGGGTCCACCTCTCCCACATCCTCTCCCTCGCCGATCGCCCACTATCTGGGGTCGGCGGCACCAGGGCGTTAGCCCTCTCTATAGTTTTTGTCATGTTTTGTTGAAGCGAACGGTTTCAGGGAGCCACAAGCAGGTCAAGAAATCCATAGTGGCAGAATAGCTGCCGCTCCCAATTTGGTCGGTGTTATGTCGGTGATGATGTTAATGTCAACCGGATCTGAGTATAGCATGCAATGAATTTCTACAGTTTGGGTGGCATGAGTTCAAAGTGCGGGGAAGGAGATGGAGGAAACAGAGTCCACGGAGTCGAACAAATGCAACAACAGCTCTGCTGAAGATGCTTCGTACTGCGCCGACCAATGCTACTCCGATCTCCTCGTCTTAATCATTCTGTCCTCTTTTGGCTTGCGGGGTCCCGTTACATGAAATGCACTTATCTTTACAAGCTTGGGTAGGAGGACTACGATGCTCTGAATATTCATGTCATCTTCAAGTCATGTCCTCCGTGTCCATCTCTTCAAGACATGCCGCTTCCACCCCAACGCCTGAAACCCAAATGTGTTTCAAAAGACCCACCGACTTCGCAAAACACACCCACACGGACCCACAGGTTGTGCCAAGGGGGCAACAACGACCATATATGTCAGTACTGGTTTCTTTCGATACGGCATGTTTCTTGCGACAATTCTTTGGGTTTCAGGAACCAACAAAATCATATCTATATATTCTGTTCCTCTATCCAACATTGAGCAGCAGCCCATATTATGCGCATGTGCTTCGCCTGTTGCATTGTTTTAAAGTGTTGCCCCAGTTCCCTGGAGTCGCGAACCTCAAATTGAACTGTGCAGTCGATGATGTCGATGTCCTTCTTGCAAATTCCTCCAGGATTTGTCCCGCATTCAAAAAAAACCGACCGACCAATCGCTTTCAATTTTGTCGTTCCTTCCAAGAAAAGGATGAAAAGAATGCGCATGCGAATGCTCGAAGACGCATCCCATCCAGCTTTTGCGGAATCCTTCGAGCCATTGCAGGGCATGCTTTACCAACAAAATCGAAAGCACGATGCGATCTAAATGCAAAGCTCGCCATTTTTGTTTGCGCAGCGAAGGAGACATGAATTTGTGAAACGGAGACACGGAATTGCACATCTTAGCATCACGATGCTCTCTCTGGGCGGTACCTGAAAAGCAACAATATCAAAAAAAACATGTGATGTTTCCACAGCCATCCTCAATGAAGGAATATGCGATAATATGCGCGCGCTGTGCCATACTCAGTTTTCTCTTCAAGCCGCAGGCGAGCACATGAGCGTCGCACTGAAGAGTGGAGCGGCAGCCGCTGTTGTTTCCATAGTAGTGGCTGTGGGGGCCTAAGTTGAACAAGCCCAGGCCAAACGGTGTGTGACAGTTCGAGATACCTCGAGTGATCCCCAGAAGCGGTTTGGACGAAGGCAAGGCAGGTGGGAGAAATACACTGCTTTGACAGTATCGACACAGTGTTTTGCCACTTGTGGCACCAAGCCTGTTGTTTCTTTTCTGACACATCATCTAGCATAAGGCTGAAAAATGCGCTGGCATGGGTTCTGACATCTGTCCTGCCGTGAGTTCCCACACGCATTCTGACATATCTTCTGGCATGTCCTTCTAACATGTGCTCTTGCGTGCACCAAACTGGCAAGTCAAAGCGCGTTCAAGCTGAAAAGCCGCGGCCTTTGACCCCATTCCATGAATATCCTGCCTGTTCAAGAGAACTATTAAGTTTCATACACAGAGCTGATCCACAGTTGATGCAACATTTAAAGGTCGCCACTCAAGCAAGTCTATCACAAAACTTGCTATGTTGCAGACACTCTGGCCGCATCAGCGCATGAAAAACACGCGGGCACAAAAAGTGCAAACAAATTGTGACACGCAGACCTTCCAGTCAATCACCGTGTGGAAAGATGCTGGCCACATCTGTAATATTTACTGAGAAACCAACACTCAAAAAGGGTTAAAAAGTATTTAGGTTTTCCACTGACTGAATAGGTTAAGCCTGTTAAGCTCCTCTTAATGACCATTACCTGTTTGACAAGGTAATGTGACAAAAAGTCCGGCTCCGGTTCTCCGAAATTTGTTCTGTCATCAAACCTGCCACTTGTCCCGACATATGTTCTGACAAAGTTTCTGGCAGATGATTTGGCACGCAATATGGCAACTACTCCACTATTCCAACTATCAGGCGCATCTTCTGGCAATCTTTCTGGCATTCCATCTGACATTCTATCTGGAATGACATTAGTTCAGGTCCGCTGGAGATCCCTTTTATGTTGTCCGACCCTGCGTGCCTAGACTGCGGAGCTCCCTGGAGAGGAGATGCGAGGAGGAGAGCATGATGAGTTCAGATCTAAAGACCCTCATTGACCTCACCTGACAATTGATTCCCTGCATCCGAACAAGAACTGAATGAAGCAAACGCAAGAGCGAGGCCGTAGTAGCAAAAGCGCTCATCTTTGATGGTGCAATTACCGACAATGTTCCGACCTCACGCTGACACAGTCTACTTGCGCCAATTCGACGCAGCCACTTGGCGTACCCAGTGAGCCCACACGTCGCGTTCGTTCGGTTGGCTGGAGGCTCTGGGACCTATTTGGCACTGGAGAAGGGACAAAGCGCAATGAGAATGAGAGAGATGAACGTGCAAATATAACATGAGCTAGAGAAAGCTAAAGAAAACAACACAAAAAGAAACGCATAAATATACATTGCCGTTGAAGCTTCTGGTTGCACTTGCTTTCGCACAACTTACACGTCTTGGCACTATTCTGGCACTCTTTCTCGAAACTGCACAATGGTGTGGCGCATTGGTGCCATATGGTGTCAGGGTGTCACTGTCTTGCCTGGCTTGCCCTTGGAATGGAATCACAAATCCACCAGTGACACTGCTAGGCCAGGTCGCCTGGGGGTCACAGAACCAACAAAGTAAAGAACATGAAGCGGTTAACGGTGTTCTTCTTTTTGTGTTGAACACCGTTGCACCGCGTTGCACCGCGTTGCACCGCGTTGCACCGCGTTGCACCTCTGCCGTCAAGAGTTCCAAAGTGCGAGGTTTCGGCAGGACGTACCTGGGAGCTCCAAAGATGGCGCCAACTTCGTCCTTTTCACTTCCCTGTCGCACTCTCCTTTGGGATCATGCCCACAAGTGCCATAGCTCACCTGAGAAAACGGAAATCAATGCGCTGCCCTTTTTTCCACTCTGCTCTCAGCTGGCGGCTGCTCGCGTCGTGGCGTTGAAGGTGCCTCCAGCACTTCACTTTCAAGAGAGAAAGCGAGTCGTTTCTGAAGTCTTTCTGGTTATGGAGTCGGGTCCCGTAACGCTTCCTAGTTGGCTACCTTCATGGAACCGTCGTGCTGGAGCCTAGCTGTGGGACCGATGAAGAATGGTCAATGATCACAGGTCTTTGCCAACAAAGCCCTCATTTTCGTTTTGACATGGTCTGTGGATGTCTGTGGCTTCCTTTCCTGCATCGTGGTTTCACGCAGCCCAAATGAAAAAGTGGCTGGATGGGGGTTCCGATGAGGAAAATTGACATTAGAACACAGATTGTTGTCAAGAGCCTAATGTCGCATCATGTCTTTCTCGATCACCGCCTCTTGCTTTGTTGGATCTGAGGAGAATTGGAGGTTTGAAACAAAACGAGAAAAACACGCGTCCGGACTTTTCCTGGACTCGGGCCACTGCAGTTCGGTATGGACGAGATCTATTGCAATTTACAATAAGACAGCGCCGCAGCCGACCACAGCCGACAACAGCCGACCACGCAACCACCAGACCCTCTAACGGAGCGAGATCTACTGCGATTTACAATGGGACAGCGTCGCCGGCGCCCACACCCGACCAGAAGCAACCACCAGACCCTCGAACGGAGCCAGATCTACTGCGACTTACAGTGGGACATTGTCGCCGGCGCCCACACCCGACCAGAGCCGACCAGGCAACCACCAGACCCTCTAACGGAGCCAGATCTACTGCGATTTACAATGGGACAGCGTCGCCGGCGCCCACACCCGACCAGAGCCGACCAGCGCCGACCAAGCAACCACCAGACCCTCTAACGGAGCCAGATCTATACTGCGATTTACATGGGACAGCGTCGCCGGCGCCCACACCCGACCAGAGCCGACCAAGCAACCACCAGACCCTCTAACGGAGCCAGATCTACCGCGATTTACAATGGGACAGCGTCGCCGGCGCCCACACCCGACCAGAGCCGACCAGCGTCGACCAAGCAACCACCAGACCCTCTAACGGAGCCAGATCTACTGCGATTTACAATGGGACAGCGTCGCCGGCGCCCACACCCGACCAGGCAACCACCAGACCCTCTAACGGAGCCAGATCTACGGCGATTTACAATGGGACAGCGTCGCCGGCGCCCACACCCGACCAGAGCCGACCAGCGCCGACCAAGCACGTTAGTCCTGCAAACTTCTTACACTCCACCTTAAAGGAGCGGTGAAGTGAGCCGCTGCTTTACCGACCGTGTTGCAGGTAGAGCTGGGAGTAGTGTTGGAAGTTGTCGTCCCAGTCTCCCATAATCACGATCTTGCAGAACAGGCCATAATCGTGCTTCTCATCCATGGACCACTGGACGATGTGGTCGAAGCACATGTGCGTGTAGGTCCAGCTGTGGATCGAAGCCAGACGAGTTCGAATGAACTCCTTCAGCTGGTTCGTACTGAACAAGCCAGCTTCAAACACGCGTCGAGCCCTGGGTTCTTCTTCTCGCTTCATGTACTTGAACAGGGTCTCGAAGTCCCACCAATCGCCATCAACCGGCGGTGGTTCAAAGGCCGACCTGTTGTTTCGATCCTCAGCTACCTCGTTGTAGTTCTCCACTGGCTGAGGTTCATCTACGTCCATGTAGCTGGGCGGCGCAGCATCATTCACGAAACTTGGGTCATCTCGCTCGGAGGCTGTTGGTTTGTAGTATCGATGATACCCACTGACCGGGTTACCCATGAAGTACTCTTCACCGCTGAAAGCCTCCTCTTCAGCTTGTAGTACCCTGTAGTCTGCTAGGGTGCCGGTCATTGGATCCCAGTCCGTGATGATGTGTCCAGCTGTTCGCTGTTGGAGTTCTGTCTCTCCACCTCCATCTGACATCTCCTCATCGGGCTCACTCTCATCTGCATCCTCTGCTACTGGACTTGGCTCTTCAGGTCGACTCCTCTCAACAGATGTTGTCATCTCCTCCTCTGGCCTTTCATTCTCTGGAGCTTCACCTTCTTGACGTTGCAAAGGTGCTGGCAAGTTGCGTCCTCTCCTCACCAAGTTCCACTCTCCTCGGTTGGCTGCCAGCCTGGCCCTCATGATCATCCCAATCTCAGCAAACTCATCCTGCTGTCTCTGGAACTCCATGGTCTCCTCCTGTCTCAGAAATCGAAGGAGGGTTCTCAGGTATACCGACCACTTCACTCGGTATCGGTGGCCACAGTAGACACCATAGAGGAACACGAAGACCGTGTAGATGGTCAGCATCTTGATGATGAACCACCAGCTGTAGGGCTCATCTGGCGTCTTGCCATCTGTGACCTCCTCAACTCGTTCTCCTCCAACCTTCTGCTGCAACAAGAGCAAGGTGACTGCCCTCACCAAGGCTGTCGGGATCTTCTGACACGTTGAGGAGCGTTGGGATTCCTTCCATGACCATCGTGTCCTTCTTGATCTCCAGCTGCATCCAGAGATACTTGATGTCGATGTGCTTGAGGCGTCCAACACCCAGCCGCTCAGCAAAAGTTCTGTCCTCTTGAGGTACAAAATGACATCTTTGACCTCTGCTTCAGCTCGTTGAGTCGGCTTGGCCATGAACTGGCTGAGGTTTCGGACTGCATGTTGGATGTCAATGCGGTCCTGGCTGATGTAGAGCAAGGTACCTATAGGGCTGATCTGAACCTGAACTGGTCAGCACCTTCAAGGATCTCATCTGGCGCTCCTTCCAAATTGTCTTGGCCACTTTCTGGACTTGCTTTGCCTGACCGCTTGTCCAGCTGGTAGAGCTGCAAGAGGTTTGGGATGTACTTCTCGTGTGGCGTAATCGCCACTCCAGCACTTGTGAAAAAGTGGCGCTTCTTGAGGCATCGAACCGCCTCATCTTCTGCCTGGTGATCAGTTGGCAAAATGCCAGATTCACTAAACTTCTTCTTCATCACCTCAGACAGCCATTCTAGGCGCTCCACCTTTCCAGCTATGATGAGGTCGTCCACGTGGCAAACTGCTGCAAGTTCTCGGCTTTCATGCCTAAACAATGAAGGCAGGCTCATGTGGTTCTGGAACCCCCACTCGATCAAATGAGTCGTCAAAAACTCGAACCACTTTGCTGCAGCGTCACGTTGTCCTGGAAGGCACTTTGAAAGATCCAGTACCTCTTCTCTCCAGGCCTTAGGTCTTGGGCTTCTTCTGGCTTCCACCACGGAGGTTGCTCCACCAACACCAACCTTGTCTGGCTGACCAAAAGAAAAGCGTCCTTGATGTCAACAAACATGACCTTCCATCCCAACAGGACATGGGTCGACAGGAGCAGTCTCGTTGCACTCAATGAAGATGTTGGCGCAAAGGTCTTTGAGCTCGAAGCATCTCCACCTCTGAACTCTCTGGCCACGAAGCGACACCTCCTCTTCCAGCGCTTCTCACGGACACGCCAGTCATATACTGACCGGGTTGTCAGGATGCTTCCCTGCTCTAACTCTTCTTCCGTGGGCTCCTCTAACACCTTCATCTTCAGCAGGCGTTCGATCTCCTCCTGGCCTGCTGCCTCTTCAATGATCTTGAGCTCCTCTGGACTTACCTCAGGCGGATGTCCTTCATCAATGTCTTCTTCAAGATCCAGTGTTGGCCATTCTGCCACATCCTCGGTCTCCATGTAGGATTCAACTTCTTCTTCCCATGCTTCATCATTAACCGGGTAGTGCACATCGTTCACATAGATCCTGCTGATACTCCCGGCATACTGAGGAGGGTACAAGCCTACAGAGGGACTGCTGTCTGGCTGAGATCGTGCCGCTTTTGATCTGGGTTCACGAACTTCAGAATCATCCAAAACCTGTTCTTCGCGACGGGGAGTGATGGGAAGCTTCACCTCTGGGGTCGTAGGTCTCCTCTGTCCAGCTTCGTCCTCATCTAGTCCCAGTGGCAAAGGAGGGACACGAAGATATTTCTCTGCTGGTGCACATCATCAGCATCTTTGTCCCGCACGAAGTCTTGTTCTCCTCCTTGGTCAACTGCGGGTGTCTCCAAGCCACTTGCCTGAGCCTTCCTTCCAGGGCCTCGAACTCCTCGTGGGACCATCGGTGTAGCTGGCATCAACCTCATAGCTCTTCTGACATTTGGGCTCCTGTAGGGTCGTGTCTTCACCAGAAACACGTACACTGACCTCCAAGGCTCGCTTGTCCTCCGGATTGCTTTGCCTCTCAACAATCCCGCGCTTCCAATGACTAGGTGAAGATCGTCCTCATTTGTCTTGCCAACCCACACTCCATGCAACCACTGAGGTCCTTGTTTTGCTCCTGGCTGCTTGTTGAGAACCATGACATACTCACCAAAGCAAACAACTTTGCCAATGTATCTGCGTCCAAAGCTCAAAGGGTGCAGCCTGAATCGCTCGGTGAGCTCCAAACCGATTGAGCAGCCAAGCAGCATGTAGATAGGCCCACTGCCACAAAGCATGCTCACTTGGCAAGTTCAGCTTGCACTTGTCTTGAAGCATCTCCATGAGAGTAGATGCTTGTCGACGAAGGGTTTGGATTGCCCGCTCAACTCTTCCAGTCTGACCTTTCTTCATGCTGAACGTGATCGTTGTCTCGAGACCCAAACCATGCCTCAGGGTCTTCACGTAGCTCAGAAGGGCTTTCATGGTTGGTTCACTGTCTCCAACCACCTCCACATTGCCATAGTGGTTGAGGGACAAGGAAAAGCGCACCACATGTTCAGCTTGGCCTCGAAGGTCTGAGCCTTTCCCTTCGACCGGAACACAAAGCAGCATCCTGGTCTCACAGTCAACCCCTGTGAGAACTGTCACCAGCTCCACGTTCTTGTTGACCTCCTCTGGCCTTGACTTACCAAAGGTGTAGTCCAACTGAATGCCAGGAACTGACCGCCTGCCAGCATCTGAACCATCAAGCGGTCTCTGAGGATCAACCCGGCTCTTGCATGCCAAGCAGAAGTCACACCAATCCTGGAAAGGAATGTGCGTTAGCTCATGAAGCTCTCGTTCTTCTGCGCTGGGTTGTCGAGGAACATG